GCTGGGGACGTGCCCAGCCCCTTCACCTCAACCTCCTGCGCCCCCAGCGAGGCTTCAGCACACGCTGCCCTCGATTTCACTGCGGCCCCGGCAGAGCCCGAGCCCTCCGCAGAGCGCTGAGGGGAGGGAAGGTTGCTGCCGGGAAGGCTGCAGCAGCCCGAAGGACTGGGATGAGTTTCCCTGCCTCACTGGAAACATCCAGTGATCCTCAGGCCGGGCAAAAAAGATCTGGTAAGAAGAATGGCTCTGTTCTGCACCCTGAGGTCACGCGGTGCATCCGGCACAGCTTAGCCTTTGCCCTGCACAGCTGGGAGAAATGCCCCGGTGTCACCACAGAAAATGAGGGGGAAAAGGGGTTTTTCCAGTGGAGGGATGCTCAGTCCAGCACCTCTGCAAATCGGAAGCAACGCCTGCAAGCCCCAGGGAGGATGGTCTACTGAAGGAGCTGCTGGCTATTCTTCCTAGGGACCTGGTGTTACCCCTGCCAGCCACCTTCAAGCTCTGAACCCATCCTTCCTCCCTGTTCCATGTTTGCAGGGAGTGGAGCTGTGGGTCCAGAGCCACGCGAGTGGAAGGGGCTGGGGTGAGACCTATGTGAGGATTGCTGCCTCCAGCCAGAGCAGGATAGCCTCATCCACATGGAGGACAGCTGCCAGGAGGCTGTCCATGTGTATGTGGGGGTTAAATAGCCTTTCCTTGCTGAAGCTGGGCTGTGGTGAGCGACTGTTTGCAGCCCTCCCTTCCTCTTGCCACTCAGACAAAGAACGGGAAAGCAGGGGGAGGGGATGCGACTGTATGTGGGTTATTGGGACAGAGTAGATGTTAGTCCCCACTACCTGAGCCCCTAAGGGACCAACAGGGCCACCTCTGTCCCCAGCTAGCTGCTGTGAACGTGGGGCAGCCATACGTGAAGTGTGTGCTGCAGGAGTGGTGTCTGCAGCTGGCCCTGTATGCCAGCCTTCCAGGGAGTGGTTTTGGGGTGGATCGGGGGGTGTCGGAGGCAGGAGCCGGCTGGGACCATGGGGACTTGTCTGGGCACCCATTGCCCTTCTGGCCCTGCCTGCCCTGGCCCCCAGTTGCTGCACCTCTCCCTGCTCTGGAGCCAAGTGGAGCATCTCCTGTGGGTCAGAGATTATCCCCTGTCAGCCCAGTCCAAGCCAGCTCCCACCAGGAGCTGGGCAGCCGGCATATCACTAGCAACCACCCCTTAAATGAACTTGGCTTAGCACACAGAACAAAGTGGCATGGAAAAGGGTGGCAATGCAAACAGCGGATGTAAGTGGTTAACCTTGGCTAACCCTCTATTCATTATCAGCTGTACTGGCTGTAGAGCCCTATCATGTATTCATTACAGGGGACAGCTGGAGGGGCCAGGATGTGCCTAGCATGCACAATACTACCCCTTGACCAGTCAATCAGACCACTAATGAGGTTTCCTAGCAGCATTAGCATTACTGCATGTGAAGCAGAGCCATTCCCAGGAGATGAAGTCGGCACATTTCATGTCTCAAGGTGCCTCTCATAGCTCTGCCTCCATTTTTGCACACCCGGACCTCCCCAGCAAGCTGCTCCTCAGTTGCCTCCTTGGGTTCCCCTGCAGGAGTCAAGAGGTGGAAAACTGTGTGCAGAAAGCTGAGCCCTTGGGCACCTCCTTGCAAAATGGGGGCTTCTCTGACTGAACCTGTGTGGGAAGAGAGGAGAAAGGAAGAGGTGCCTACACCAAGACCTTGAATGTCCAAAATCAAATGTCCAGGGCAACATCACTGATATAAAATCCAGGAAATACTTAAGGAGACTTCTGGAGATCTTTTCTCTTGGTCTCAGGGCTTTATACAGGTGGTCAGGAACCTGACTCTGAAATATCTGCTCCAACCACTGCAAGCTCCTTGGCTCCAGCAGTAAAGCCGGCAAAGGGATGGCCACATATTGAATGTCCACAGCAGAGTTAGGAACATCTCCTCTCTCTGGCAAAGCATCCTTTGGTGAGATTGAGGTATGAGCTATGAACCTCTAAGTGAGCCTTGAGGTTGGCTGGCAGCAACTTCCCTGCTTCCTCCTCCCTGTGTAAGAACAAGGATTTGGAGCCATAAAGGAGAGGGCAATAGATTCCCTGAAGACGAGCTACTGCCCAGCAGCAAAGGGGTTGCACCCATCCCATGCAGCTGCTCAGCTGGGCTTTCTTCTCACCTTGTCCTGTTTCCTGTCCACCTCTGGCATTCATTTGCCCCCGTTACTGCAGTAGCCAAGTGCCTTACTGCAGCCACAACCCCCTGCCCCATCTCCCCATATCATTCCCTGTCTCACTCTCTATTCTTCCTCTATTTGGGGTAGGTGGGACCCGAGCAGGGCTCTGTGAGGTGTGTACTGGAGGATGCTGCAGCAGGATGGGGGGCATGGCGCAGCCACATGACTATGGTACAGGTCCTCTACCTGGGGGAGGAGGAGCGAAGGGCAGGGAGCAGGAGAGCCGGCTGCCTTGGGCCTCCGTGATGTGCAGGGCTCTCCTGGCTGGCAGCAGCTTTGAGAAAGCTGGAAAAAGACAACAGGAGCCCCAGGGGATGC